TTAAACAATATTTTAGGTTATACAAAAGCTTGAAATATTGTATCCGCCAAATTCTGAGCTTCTTCTTCCTCACAATACAAAAGGAGTTATGAAAACAAACAGGTTTTTTCTTTCTTCTTTTTTTTAGATCTGATCCCTTGGTTACTGAAATGATGGCCTACTATGGCATTGTGTTGTATGTGCTATAGTTAAAATTAAACTTATAAACAGAAAAGAGAAACAAAAACTAAAAACTTAAAAAAACAAAAAACTAAACTAAAAAAAAAAAAATTTTAACAAATGATAAAATAAAAAATAAACCTTAAAAAAAAAAAAGTAAAAGCATAAATTTAATGTCTTCATTTTGATTTAAAAGTGTTTTATAGAATTTAGAAAAGATCAAAGTTTATCTATGCTTAACTAATTTAAAATTTAGTTATTTTAAAATAGAGTATAGTCATAAAAAAGAGTCAGTAGTTTTAAATAAATCTAATTGGTTGTTAGTGGTAAACAAAACAACTTTTTATTTATTAATATTTAATTTATGCAAACAAAGAATTCGTAAAAAATGACTAAGTATTATAAAAAACTGAAGCGTCTGTTATAACATTTTTGCAGGAGATATATCAATATAATTATAAAGATATCTTGAAGTGTTTATTAAACATAATTTATGAACCTAATTGAAAACATTTTTTATTTTATTTTTTGTCAACTTTTAGCAAATGAATATTGATGTAGACATCAATATTCATTTGCTAATGAGCTAACATATTCAAGTTTTTGTTTTTTCTAAAATTTAGTTAAATAATTTAAATTTTTTAATAATAAATGCAAAGGATATTGTTAAATATAACGTTTATACATTTAAAGTTTTAAATCATGATGCATAGTTTTTATTTTTATTTTAAATTTGTGTAACGTATGTTATAAGTCCATGTATTTACGTTCTGGTTTTTCATTAACAAAATGAATTGCTTCAAGTAACTATTACTTTAACAAAATGAATCAAGTAACTGTTACTTCATTATGTCATCAAGTAACTGTTACTTCATTATGTCATCAAGTAACTGTTACTTCATTATGTCATTAAGTAACTATTACTTCAATTGCGAGGTTGAAAATGAAACTTTTTATATTATAAAAATTTTTTAAAAAATCTTTTTTTTTTATTGTTAATGAAAATTATTTATATTTTTGTTTCTTTATTTGTTCATGTACTCTTTATTTAGTTGATATGCAAATGAAAACAAATAAATAAAAATAAGAATTATATAAAATATTTTTATTTAGATATTAAAAAGACAAAAAGAATATTTGCTATTCTTCTGATATAAAAAAAATCAGTTAAAATCTTTTTTATTTTTGTTTTAGTAAAACAAATTGTTTGTTTGGGAGGTCATCCATAAACCACGTCACCCTATATTTGACAATTCTTAACCCCTTCTCTCCTGTCACAAACAATGATATATACCACTCTCAGGAGGGAGAGGGGTATATGTGATTGTTTTACTTAAAATTATTTTAAAAGTTTTAAAGGGATCCCTAAGTGCTCCTAACATGATCTCATATGAAAGAGCATTAAAAAAAAATATGTAAGTTTTTTTTCTTTTTCACTAAATTATAATAATGAATACATGCTAACAAAAAGCAATTGTCAACATCACTGAAAAACAATTCCATTTTGATTTTATTTTTTTACCATTGAAAATCGATTGTTAGTCGTTAAAAATCACGTTAGTACGTCACAACAACTTTAGAATATCTACTTTGATTTTCAAGTAAAAAAAAGTTGTGATTAAATAGTTAAGTTTTAATCAATTTTTTAAAATTAGTTTTGCAAAAACAGTATAATATAATAGCGTTACTATCAAATAAAAATTTGATTGTTCTACACATTAATAGAATTATAAAGCTTTTATCAGAAAACAATCACATGTAGCAGTGAATAACTTTCCGAGTCCTTTTGGAAATGGTTGGTTTAATGATCAAGGTTCAGTTACCCTATCTTGGTTAGAATTATCCGCTGCACCAGATTCAGCTCTTTATTTTGTTTACTGTTATTGCCATGATTGTTCCACTAGAAGTTGTTCTTGTCATAAAGTTTGTGTAGTTTGCCCAGATCTTTGAAAATGTAAATCATTGTGATAACCATCAAGAAGTGGATGATGATAACCAATAAGATGAATCACATGAGTCTGATAATGATAGCAACTTAGATTAGATTAATAAATTGTAATAAAAATCATTTGTTATTAATAATTTTTTGATTTTGAACTGCAAGGTAATTATCAGTGGCAGTTGTATATATAGGAAATTTGGTTATCAATAATATTTCTGTTTTAATTACAGTCCTCTTTTAAAACATTGCATAAAAATGTCATATGGCAAATCCTAAGAAAACAGATCAAAAATAAAAAGGTCTATAACCTAGGTTACCTATATCAAAAAGCATTCAAATTTTAAGACACTTTTGGTAGTTAACTAAAGAATATACAAACTAAATTTGAAATTAAAATTATTATTTATTTGGGCATAATAAAGAGAAAAAAAGAAAGTCGTTTTAATTTTTTTATTTGAAACTTTCCTGGTTAAAACTATAAAATGGTTTCTATATAAGCCAAAACTTTGAACTCAATTATCTGGTTATTGGGACCATGAATATTTGGGAACTTTTTTTTTTGTGATAAGTTTGTTTAGATCTTCAAGAAAAATTTTTAAAATTTTAGTTACTAAATGTGTATAACGAGCATATTTTTTTTGAAAGCTTTTTCTGCAACAGACGCTGGCCTATACTGTCATTCTGAAAATACTTGCAATTACACGGAAAGCCCATCATATGCAAAGATAACCGTTTATTTCTATCTTTTTCCCACTTTAGACTTTTTTTCTTTTTTTGGAGTTTCTGTAGTATGTGGATTTTGACATAATCCCTCATTCTTCAAATTTTAATGTGAGATCATTGTTTTTCTCCTAAGACCCTTCGTGTGTGCATGTAAATATACATATATAAAATAAAGGACAAATACAATCAAATTTTTATCATTTTATTATTTTATATTGTTATTTTTGCAAATATTATTTTTTGCGAAAAAAAAAACAAAAAAGTTTATCAGAACGAGTGGGTACTGCTGCCAAATTTTTTTTCTAGAATAAGCCCTGATTATATATATATATATATATATATATATATATATATATATATATATATATATATATATATATATATATATAAATAGATAGATAGATAGATAGATAGATTGATAGATGAATATACATTTTTTAGAGATCCTCTTCCAATTACGAGTTATTCCATAGTTAATTCTTGTACTGATCACCATCAAAACTTAGTTCAGGTATCTTCTGGTGGGTATGTGACATCATTTGCTTTATCTGGAACAGCAATTATTTTAATCACAGTTCATGAGGACTTTGGCTACAACCAAACAATTTTTGTAAAAGTTGAGGTAAAAATAATTTATTTGTATATCTTTTTGTTATTAAATTATCTATTAGTATTTTTTTATCTATCTAGAAATATTTTTATATATCTACTTTAATTTATTTTGTTATATATTTTGTATATTTACCTATTATGTTGTAATTTTTATTTCAAAAAGATAAGACAGTAAATAAATAAATTTGATATATTTTAAAATAACTAGATATTAAAAATATTATTTATAAAATAACTATATATTTTCTGAAAAAGATTTGTCCTAAAAATTATGATAATTTAAGTTATTAAATTATTATTTTAGTATTGTTATTGTATTAGTTATTGTATTAGAGAGAAATGTTTTTAATCCCAGTTTATCTTATTCAAATTTTATTATTTGTTTATTATTTTTTTAATTTAAATACTACAAATATATTTAAATTAAATACAGGGCTTTGGAGCAGCTCTGGAGCTGGAGCCCGAGCTGGTAATTTTACATGAAGCTGGCTCCGAAGCCAGCTTCACCCTTAAGATATATTGAAATATCAAATTTCCATAAAGTTATTACTTTATATAATGAGATTTTTCTGAAGAATTTAAACAAAATTAGGTTCATTAAAATAATTATAATTTCTAAATAATGCAAGGGCTATTTAAAAAAAAAAAGATTTTTTTTTAAATTTAATTTTTATCCAATTATTTTGTGTAATATGTCATGTGGTTCTTATTGTATAGTATAATAAGCAGGGCTTTGGAGCAGCTCCGGAGCTGGTGATTTTATATGGAGCTAAGCCAGAGCTGGAGCTAAAATATTTCCTGCCGAAGCTGGCTCCGGAGCCAGCTCCACCCTTTTGATAATTTGAACTAGAGAGCCTATATACTCAGAGAGCAGACATACATGTGATCGTTTTTGATTGGTTGTTCGATTTTTATGATTTTAGACGCCATCTTTTTGCCAAAAATACTAACTGCGATTAAAGTCTACTACTAAATTTGTATTAAATATTTGTAAAAGTATGCCTGGTTGTGCTGCAGTAGGCTGCTATAACAGGCCTGAGAAAAGATTTATTATGAAATGCTTCCCAAGAAATGAAAAACAACGGGCGATTTGGACTTCTAAAGTTAAACGACTTAACTGGGTACCTACAAACACAAGCTTTTTATGTGAATTAAGCATAAGAAAATACAGTTTTATGTAATTAATCCTAGAAATGAGTTATTTTAGAATCCATACAAATACATTATATTCTTTCAATTTTTTTATTAAGGTACACTTTGATGCTGATCAATGGGAAAAAAACATAAGATGGATCAAGAAAACTCAAACATAATGCAATTCCTACTGTCTTTAAACATGTTAGAGCAAAACATAAGCGAAAAAATCCACTCGAGCGTTTTCCAATACCAAAAAAAAAAGAAAATAAGTTGTATAGAAAAAGGAGAAGTTGTGGAAAATATTTTAATTGAAGTAAATAACAATGAACTATCTGAAGTTTGCACAACTGAGGTTAATAAAAGTTTACTTATACAAGATTTAAATGCGAAATTGGAGAGATTAGAAAAAAAAGTCATTAATCAAAAAAAAAAAAAATTAGCATTTTAAAATCGAAAGCAAGAATAAATACTATTCAAAAATATAATCATATAAAGAGAGATAAATTTAGAGTTTTGAAAACAATATTTAAAGAAGATCAAATTTTATCCTTAAGTAGAAAAAATATGAAATTCATTAAATGGTCAAATGATACTATAAATGAAGCGTTAGAACTCAAATTTACATGTGGTCAAAGTGGTTTTAAAACTTAACTTCGTTTAAACTTACCATACCCATCATTACGTACCCAACGACGAAGATTAGAAAATCTAAAATTTCAAAGTGGCATTCTAACAGAAGTCTTTGAGTTTATGAAAACTAAGGTGAATGCCATGAAAATCCATGAAAAAGAATGTGTTTTAATTCTTGATGAAATGTCAATAACTGAAAGTGTTGACTATGACACAGCTACAAGCTCTTACTATGGAGTTGTTACATTACCTGAACATTATGGCCAAGCTAACCATGCTTTTTATGCTTTTAAGCTAACCATAGTTTTTATGCTTGGAGGAATATCTACAAGATGGAAACAAACTGTTGCATATTATTATACTGGAAGTTCTGTTTTAAAAAACATTGTCCTATCTATAATAAAGTATACTGAAGAAATAGGATTAAAAGTTAATAGTGTTACTTCTGATATGGGTGCCATTAACCAGGCAATGTGGAAATGTTTTAATATTTTTTAGCTGTACTAAAAGTGGCAGTATTTCTAGTTCAATTTAACACCCATGTGACCCTACTCGTACAATTGATTTTTTAGCAGACATACCACATTTATTAAAGAATATAAGAACATCTCTTTTATGTAACAAACATTTTATAATAACAGCTAAGATTCAAGAAAAATATAAAGTTCAATCGCCAATTATAGATTCAAAACACCTTAACAAGCTTGTAGACTTTCAAGAAGGTATGGATTTGAAGTTTGCTTACAAGCTTACATTTGAACATCTTGATGAAAAACATTTCAACAAAATGAAAGTATCAAGAGCAACATCTTTATTGAATCATAATGTAATTTGTGGATTAAAATTTATTGCAAGTGAAATAAAAGATGATTCTATTCTCACAACTGCTCGGTTTATAGGAATTGTTGATAAATGGTTTCCATTAATGACTTCACGAAACCCAGGTATGGCTCTTAGCATGAAAAATGGCAAAGTTTACAATGAAACAATAACTTTTTTAAATGAAGTCATAGAGATATTCAATGGTTTAAAAATATTAGGCCAAACTGAAAAAATAAGTTGGAAACCTATTCAATCTGGTGTTATATTATCAACAACATCAGTTATTAACTTGCAAAATAAGTTTCTTCTAGAAAAAAAGTTTGATTTTCTAATGACATCACGATTTACGCAGGATTGCCTGGAGAATCTTTTTTCCTGGTACGTGCAAAACAAGTAATTCCTACTGCTCTTCAATTTAAAAATAACTTGAAACTTATTTGCGTTGCCCAATTCTTGAAAAAATCATCAAAAGGCAGTTATGATATAGATGACCGTCAATTCTTATCTGGTTTTCTTGATATAGTTAATAGTTATGTGCATAAACCACAGCAAAGAGAGTGCATTTTTTTACCTAAAGATTGGGATAAAACCTCTAACTTAATCTTAAGTAATGCTGAGCAAAATTGTTTGTTTCATATTGCAGGTTATATAATTTCTAGAGTTAAAAAAATTTAAAAAGTTTGCACAATTTGTTTTGAATCTCTAGTTTCTAAAAATAGAGTTAATGCTGATTTCACAAAGTTTGTTACAGCCAAAGAGCACAAAGTGGGTAGTTTATTTTTTGCTAATGAAACAACATTTGCATTCTTTTTACAAATGGAGTTAATATTCAGATCATTTGAGCCATACCTTAATTCCCAAAAGAATTGTAATACTATGCTTTTAGAGAAAGTTAATTCTGATGAACAAATTAAAAGTCTAACTTTGTATCCTAGTTGTCATCAAATTAAATTGAAGCTAAAAAACAGGTTTATAACATTCAGACTTAAAATATTTAACCTTAAAAAAAAGCGTTTATTATGTAAAAAGAAAAAAACTAAAAAAAGTTCTTGTGAACTTGGCAGCAAGAGTATGACAATGCATGCATTTGCACTAAAGGTTTAGGTTCAACTAATTTATAAAATAAACTGTAAAGCTTTTTTCAAATTACTTATTGATTACAACTACTTTTTTGCTGTGTTTTTTTTTAAAGGTATTTCCTAAATAAATAAATAATTTTGTCAAAACATAATTTTAAAAAAATAAAACATAAAAAGGTTTAATTTTTAAAAATATATTTCTGTTTAAAATATTATTGTGCTCATTTTCTTTCAATTGTTTTTACTTGAATTCGTGAATGTCATACGCTAGTTTGGCAAAAGCAGGGCCGCCGTTCTTCCGTATTTTCCGTATGTCCGCTCTTTGAGTATATAGGCTCTCTAATTTGAACTATCAAATTTCCATAAAGTTATGATTTTATATAATGAAATTTTTTTTCAGAATTCTAACAATTACGTTTATTTAAATAGTTATAATTTCTAAATAATGCATTTTTTCATAAGATTAATAAAAAAAAAAAAAGAAATTTTTTTTTTTCAGATTTTAATTTTTATCCAATTATTTTGTGTAAGATGGTTCTTATTGCAGAGTATGATAAGTGCACCTTATGTATGATCCTTTATGTACGTACTTAATGGACGATCCATAACGAAAAAATACTCTGTCTATGTGTTAAGTCACATGATTTGTTTTAACGTTTTTAATTAGTTGAACATTTTCAAAATAGATATAAACATGTGAGTTCCAAATAAAATTATAAAATGATTTAAAAGTTGTTTTTTTTTTTTGATAATATTGATATTATTTTTGTTTTGATATTATTGATATTATTTTTGTTTATTCTATCTTTTTTATTATTTCTCTTTTCTTTAAAATTTGTCATTTACTTTATTATCATAATTTTTTATAAAAGTAGCTTCAAATTCAATTGATCCTGAGAGGTTTCTAATAAGTATTTTTCAATTGATAAAACTACAAAACTTGTTACATGTAAGATTACAGAAAAGTTAAATGATAAAGTGATTTTATGCGCCTATGCAAATAAAAAAATAAAAACTTTACAATATGAAATGGCATTTGGAAAAACCACATCTATCAGAATATAAAATTGTTGAATCTGAAATGAGCCTTGTGGCCCAAAGAAAATCTTCAAAATTATTTTATCACATTCACAAGATTTCTTAAAGAATCATTAAAATGGTAGAGTTTTGTTGAAAACATTTGCAGATGAAGGATTTTAGACCTTGGCTCCATAATAAGTTACTTTAAAACAATACTTCTAAACAATTTCAATAATTGGTTATGGGATCATCCATAAAGTATGTAAGCTTTTTTCATCTCCCCCCCCCCTCCTTTCTCCCCTCACCCCTCCTCCCTCTCCTCTCATCCAGCATTTTGCTTTGTACATTTTTGATATTATAAGGTTAGGTACTTTTTTTTTTACCTAAAAGTACCTACCTTTTAACCTAGCTACTCGACATTTAATATTTTTTTTATTTAGTGTCTCCTTACTTTCATAATTGACCCCTCTCCCCCCATTCTAGCGTACATTATGTACAATCCTTTAGGTACTTTATGGACGATCCTTAACAAAAAAAAAACTCCTATGTGTTAAGTCTATCTATGTGTCAAGTCACATGATTTGCTTTAACATTTTCAATTAGTTGAAACATTTTTAAAATTGATTTAAACATGTGAGTTCCAAATAAAGTTAAGAAAAGATTTAAATGTTGTTTTTTTTATATTATTGATATTATTTTTGTTTAATCTTTTTTTGTATCTTTATTATTTCTCTTATTTTAAAAATTTGTCATTTATTTTATTTTCATAGTTTTTTATAAAAATAGCTTCAAACTCAAACGATCCTGAGAGATTTCTAGATAAGTATTTTTCAATTGATAAAAACTACAAAACTGGTTACATGTAAGATTATAGAAAAGTTAAATGATAAAGTATTTCAAGATTTCAATACTAATAAAACTAAACAGATTACTTCTTTTTCTTTTGTTATCACTATTAGCTGAACAATAAATCAAGTAAGTGCTAAAACTTTTAAAATTGGAATTATTAAAATGGTTGTGAATAACAGAGTTTTGTTGAAAACATTTGCAGATGAAGGATTTCAGTTGGTTACAGGCCATTTAGGTAAAACTCTTGGATTCAGTATCGGACACAATTCTGTACGCAATTTGAATAATGAGTTTGCTGGAAGAAAAAAAAAGCTGAAATAAAGGAAATATTGTTATAGAATTTATAGATTTATAGATTTATGTTAAAACAGATGCAGCCACTCAACACCAAAATAACTATTTGCAAACAAATATTCAATATTATTATGCGAAAAAAGTTGAAAAACTTTAGCATTGATAGATACACAAGGACCCTGTTGCTATCAAAAATAGATACTTTAATATATTTGATATTAGCAATGATCAAATAGTATGTGTCTGGGGTTGGTTAAAATTGAAATCTGACCTAGAGAAGAGTCAAGGACTTTTTGCAAAAGACATTTCAAAATCTATGCAGAAACAAGTAGAAAAACCTTTTAATAATGATATATTTCTAGCTACAGTTTATGTTGATGCTAGATATAGAATATTATTGGAAGAAAATCTAATATTACGAGCAAAACAAGGCTTAAAAAGTTATAAAAGAGATGCCAAGAATATAATATAAAGTCAAGAGATAAGAAATACTGCTGTTTTGTATCGAGCAATCTGCGTTTTATAATATATTAAATACTAATATTTTAAATACTTTATTTTTAAATACTTTATTTTTAAGGATGAATCAAGATTTTGATTTAAAAAAATGTTAATAATACTTAAGTTACTATCATAAAACACTTTTAAAAAATTTTGATTTTTTTTTTAATGGAGCCGCTCCGAAGCTGGAGCCAAAAGTTCTAATGGAGCTGGAGCTGGGGCCAGTTTTTAGACCTTGGCTCCAAAGCCCTGATTAAATACTGCTTGTTTTTCAAAGTATTTGATTTAGTAACTGTCATTTTTATATTGATATTGAAATTAAATTTTTTTTTTTTTTTTTTTTTTAGTTAAGTATTATTATATTATTATATATTAATTAATTTCATCAGTTCAAACACACAAGCAACAAAAATAATTTTTTATTTAAATTAAGTTTTAATGATCAATAGAGCTAAAATGTCATGATAATTTTTTTTTTAAGGTGAAGCCAGTGTCGACTGTATCACTTCATTTGTTATCAAATTTTGTTATTTCTAATAGTCAACGACCTGCATTTCCTATTGGATCTAATGTTTTATATAGCGTCCAATTGCATGATAATATTGCTAGAAAGTTTGATATTGCTACAATTCCATTGAAACATAGAGTGAGCAGGTAAGATGTAATATATTGTTATTACAATAGTTATCTTATTACAATATATCAAAAGTAACATTATAAAATTTATGAACACTTTTTATAATTTTATAAAATTTTTTATTCCTTTAAGTTTTTTAGTGCTTTAGTTATTAAATTGTCATTATTTAGATCAGATATTGTTCATGTGATTCCGAATCCTGAAAATGCAACCTTTTTGCTCAGAACAATAAGTATAGGTGAAGTAATAATGAAGGTATGTTCTGTATGTTTTGTTTTGGTGTTTTTAACATTAATTGCCTTAATGATTGTTGTAAAAACATGAAGTTGTTGTTATAACAACAACCTCATGTTTTTACAACATAGTTGTAAAAACATGAGGTTGGAAACAAGTTGGTAATGTTTGTCGTTGTTTTAATGAAAAATGTTTTGTTTTAATTATTGTGTTCAGGGTGTAAAATAGTATTTATAATTTTTATAAATACTATTTTACACCCTGAACACAATAATTTTGATTGTACATTATATGTACTCATAGTGGTGCATCCAGTATTATTTCACTTAAGAGTAGGGTGATGATCAGTCTTTTTTCATCAAGTTAAAGGACTGTTAAAAAAACCTTTTCAGGAGTTGTTGTAAACATATGGTTAAATTCTGCATGTTGAGATTTTTTAATATGTATTAATAGTAATAATAATAATAACAATAATAATAAAGTAAATATGTGGACAATAGAAAAAGTTTAAATAGCACTTATTGTTAGCATTTGCTATTTATTTTTTTTTTTTTTTATATGGTATTCTGTGAATTAAGTCTTCTCAGAGTATCTTTAACAAAAACCACTCAAAAAAGGTTCTATTTACAATACCTAATCAATAACAGTCAATAAAATCAACTTATTTTGATTTTTTCTACAAACTTTAAATTTTGTCACTTATAACTTGATGCAAAAAATAAAAGTAAATTAAAATAGCCTGTCATATTTAAATATTTCATCAATCATGGGAAATCTATAAAAATTACAATTGTTATTGCAGTAATTAACTTTTTTAAACTTTATGGTGTTCAAAGCAAAAAATTAATACAAATGGCAAGAAAATATAGCTTAAAGTAGGATTTTTTAGAGATGAACCAAAAATTATGTTGTTGTTTTTTTTTATTATTATTATTATTTTTTTTTAATGTTTTTTGTCACATTCTTGAACAAAAACAAAAAAACAGGTAGGCACAAATAATAGCTCAAACAATGTTGCTAACTAGAATCCTTTTGGAAAACTTGCAAATGAACTAAAATTGTACAAAATTTTATTAAAATTTAGCGTATTGACTTTTTTTCCTTTGAAAAAAACTTATTTCTACTTTCCAACTAAATTTAATATTAAATATCTAATCGAGTTAAAAAAATTATGTGCCTTCTTTTTTTAGCCAAATTTTTTAAATTTAAATTTCTGAATAAATATTTTTCATTTAAGAAATTCTAGTATGTTTTCAATTGTACTTATAATTGATGTGTTCTATCCACTGTGATATTTTTTTCTGTCACTGATATTTGGGATAAACTCATGATTTTAGCATGTGATGTCTAATTGATGGTTTTTTAAAATAAGGATTTCAAAAGTTTAATTAAAACTTAATTTTGATTATTTTGCCTCGATGATTCAACTTATTTATAAACACCTTCCCTTAACACCTAAATAAGATTAAATTAATAAAACAAAAACCTTGTATCCTTAAATGTTTAGTTTGTTAAAAATTATAAAGAACCAATTGATAAACATAGGTTAGTAAAAAATAGAGTAACTATAAAGTCTGTTTCTGTTTTTTTCTTTTTATTGCTTATGCTTCCTATATTGGTCTCTTGGAAAGTGCTGGTGACAAGTTGCCTCAGTTACTAGACTTTAAACGTTAAACATTTTGTTTCCTGCTTTTTCATTAAACATTTGTATTTCATTTTTATTCCTGCATTAGATGTTCTAAGTAATAATATAAATATATATTCATCAGTATAAATGTGCAGATGGATGCATATTTAATGCATGCTAAAGTATGCATCAGATGAACACATGCATGTATCAGATTTGATCAAATTTTCAGTGATCAAATAAAAATGGTTTTTAACATATTCAAATTTATTTATTTATACCTTTTTAAAATGTTTTTCACTTATTGTTAAGTAATCTGAGCAGATGTAAAAAAGCTGGAATAAATTCATCAAGTCTAAATCAGGAACAACAAGTCATGTAAGAAAGATGTCACAGCAAATAAATGATAAGAATGTGCCCCATCATTGTCTGTAAGAAAAGACTTTAGTAATGTGGAAAGGGCAACTTAGGGTTGTCAACTAAACATGAACTATGTCTTCTCAGTGAGAAAAAAGACTTTTAAAAATGTTATAAGTAATTTGATTTCAAGTCCATTTAAAAAGTTTGAAAATTTTTGTGTATATTTTAGATCTTAATAGAGCACTCTATTTTGTATACATGTTTTGTTTTTATAATGCCTATTTATCTCATATATTAGATACTAAAGTGGACAAACTGGTTAGCAACATCACATGCACCCATGTTATTTTACCTCAAATATTAAATCTTTACCCACAAATAACCATATGTTGATATATCACATGCTAAGATAATGCAAGTTTATTCCAAAGTGGACTAGCTGGCTATATAGCTAGCTGGCTAGAAGTAGACTATAAAGATTGTGCAAGTAGTAAATTCGACTTCATAATCAGATTCCTTTCTTCAAAAAAAAGTGTTATTACGCAGTATAACTTGAGTTTTTTGCAAAATTTTATTTTAAATTAGGTTACAAACAAAAGAGGTATTAATAATAATGAATTCTTTTACTAACACCATTACAATTAATAAAATGCAGTTTCTCGAAACTGGTTTTTGGTTATAACAATAAAATTTAACCAAGTTAAGATTTTTTTTTCCAAAATCTTATTTTCAGGTCACATTGTGCACTGTAACAACCTGTTCATCTACAGTCACTACCTCCTAAAAACCTCACGACCTGTTACAATCTCATCATCAATACAGAGACCACCTTGTTTTATAAATGGGGTCCTAATATTAACAAAACAAGTTCTTTAAAAGTAGGTCAACCTGGTACACAAAATAATATATAAATTTCTTAAATAGTGCACTTTTTTTTATTTCTAGTTAAAAAACCACAGATTTTATGCAATTAAAACCTAAAATAATAATTGTAATATAAATTATTATATAATATTGCTATTTTTAAGTCATACATACAGCACAACATACTTTTGAAAAACTTTTTTTTTTTCAAAATATTAGGGACTTGGTAATATAGATTACATTTTTTTTTTTTTTTTAATTTTTATAGAGTAAGTAAAGTTGATTGAGCTGTCCCTAAAACACATTCATGGTTGCAGTTTCAAACTAGTTTTCCTGACCACAATACTCATCAAATCAAAGGGTAGCCCAATTTAAGTTCAAAAAAAAAAAATTATATATATAATTTTGAAATAGTCCACTGTTCTCCAAATTGACCACCAGGTTGAAACTCTCCCCACTCCCAATTTTTTTGAATTAAATCAATTATATGCAATAGTAAACACAATTTATATTGCCAAAAAAATCTGAACTAAGTGCTAATTATGTAAATTTTAATAATCAAACCATCATTTTTTGCTTTTTTTCTTCAAAAATTTAAATTAAGTCAGCCATTATGATATTTAAGAAAACCCAATAAAGTTAATCTATTATATAATAAAACAACATAATAAATACATTTAAAACACATCTGATATTTTTGCTATTGTTTGTTTAAATTGAAATTCACTACAGCAGACTTCAGCTTTTTGGCGTAATTTTTGTGTCCAATAGTTCTTTTATTATTCACCCAAGTTTTTTTGAATTTGTAATGAACAGCTTCACCGAATTTGTTCTGCATAGTTACCTAAGCTTGTATTTTTGTGTTCTACAAAAGGGAGAATATGACACACTAAAATGTATTTTCCATGATACTGTTAAATTGTAGTCAAAAATATCTTTGGTATACAGTTGAAGACTTAAAAATGAACTTTTGAAGTCTTCAACTTTAACAGAAATATCTGTACCCAATTCCAAACCAAACACTGTTGATTTTATTCATGAAAATTTACGCAAACAATCAATTATTGGTAAAATATTATTGCTGCAGTAATGGTGACATCTCTCTCTAAAACATCTAACAGGGACAAAAATCTATTAGCATTATTTCCGTCAAAGCCTACACCGTGATACCCTCTTATTAGTATGTTAAGTTTTTTCAACCAATTTTCAAAAGCTGGCCAAACTCACAAAAGTAAAGTACAAAGTTTATCTACAACTCTTATCATAATATGGAGCTCAAGTGGAGGAACAATGTGTTCAAGAAAAGTTGCCTGATCTTCTTATAAGTAAATTAAACAAGGATTTATAACATTTTTTTACTGCATTTTTAATCTTTTTCTTCCATCACATACATATTGATCATAACACAAGTCTATATAGCCTTAAGTTTTCCTGTTTCTAATGTGCATTCCCCTTCACAATACAAACAGGCATATTTGCCAAAGTGGCTTGACGGTCCAAAAATACTGTTTGCACACTTTAGATGAAATGCGAAATTAAAATTCACTTCTTCAAGTTTTAGAGGAGCCAATAATTTTTGGAGATGCCATTATCCTCTGGCATCTATGCCATTATCCTCTGAAACCAACTCCACAATATAAGAATATAGCAACGTTTCATGCCAGAATCTTCATATATTTCCGATGAAGTATAGTGATTTTTTGGATCAAAACCATTTATGATAACTTTTTAAAAGTATTGACCGCCATCTATAGAAATTCTTACCATTGCATTAAGATTATCAATGCCTCTTCTTTCAGTTATAAATTGAATAAATTCTGTTGTATTTTTGATATAAACGATATCTCTAAAAACTGTCTGATCTCCGTCAACAAGTTCCTCTGTTTAGCATTCATATAAAGTATCTAGAGTTTCTTGCAGTTCGTTCATTTTAATTTTAATGCTTGATTCTACAACACAAGTTACACTCCTCCGTAAAGTAGAACATAATTTTTTTTGTTTTGTAATTAGAAAGTTCTAATATATTTGATAGCTCCATAATGGTTTGGAATGAAATCTGGTTTAATTTATTTCTTTTGGACTTCATTTTATTCACTCCAACTGTAACTGATAGAAGATTTCCACCCATAGACAACATGAACTGCTCTCCGCTTGCAATGTTTTCACATTCCATTTTACGTTTTTAACAATCCAGATGCTATTTGTTCTGCATTTTTTTCTCCAAGCGACTCACTTATATTTATAATATTGCTTACAGCTTTACTTTTGCAGCAATCGTGAAAAACTCCTCTCCCTTAAATTAACAGTGAGATTTTTATAACTATTTTTAAATAACTGAAAATTGTATTGGAAATAAAACAATAAAACTATTAAATAGTTAAAAAAGTAAAGGAAAAATACATTTCAATGAACTTTATTTAAATTATAAAACCATAATATCTATTATTCATACTAAGATTTAAGTAGCAAACCCCACAGATTTTCTCAGTTGCATTTGAAACATTTGGCATTGTTTCAACATTTGTCTGGATACTTAGCAGTGAAGAGGTTCGTCTAATAGTACTTCTATTGACCTAAATATATAAACACACATTTATATATATATATATATATATATATATATATATATATATATATATATATATATATATATATATATATATATATATATATATATATATATATATATATACATACATATATATATATTATATATATATATATATATATATATATATATATATATATATATATATATATTTAGGTTTATAATTAATATTATATGTATATTATAAGTAATATTTAACTCATACAAAAGCTCATTTAACTCATAATATTTAACTTATACTTTTGATAAACTCTCTAACCAGTTAGATAGATATGCAGTTTCTCCCTTGTTTAGACTAAACAAATTTCTTCTCCAGTTGGAACAAACAACTGAAGGACAATCATCAAGATCAGAATCAAAGTTTGGCCAAATGTATTCTTGAATTTTTTGACATATTGAGGGTGTTATGGGCGTTAAGCATTTTGATCTGATTCCTTTGTTTTTCAAGCAAACTGCATAAGTAAACATTTTAAATTCTGCCGCCATGTTGGAAATTATTAATTATATCTGGAAAAAGGTTGTAAATAAATTATTTTGAAAACGTAAATGGCTGACTTTATTTGAACTTTTGAAGAAAAAAAAGCAAAAAATGACAAATTTTAATTTTCAAAATTTACATACTTAGCACCTAGTTCAGATTATTTTGGTAACATAAATTGTGTTTACTATTGCATATGATTGTTTTAATTCGAAAAAATTGGGAGTGGGGAGAGTTTCAACCTGCTGGTCAATTTGGAGAACAGTGAGTCTAATATTCATACAAATTAGTTTTTGTCAACACTTGTTTAAGTATTTTTTTATAATTTAGGTTTGGGATGATGACAATCCTTCGTTATCTGACTACATTCGAATAAGAGTAACTGAAGGAATAATTCCAGCTAAAGTTCAAATTACTTTAGGCAATGTTTTTTGTTTCCATAGCAATATCATTGTTGGTAAATAAAGTTTATGTTTGTTAATACTTTTTTATTTCGTTATTTTTGAGATAATTTTCAATAACTTTAGTTTGTTATGTTAATGCCTAAAGCAGTCAGCGAAATTCAGGTCGGCATTCGGCAATGCCGATTCGGCAATTTAGGACGGCATACAACTGCCAACCTGAATATTCTAAAGTGTCGGCATGCAAATTGAAATACTTTAAATAAAAAATTATAAAATAATATTCGTTAAATATTATTTTATAGTTTTTTTATTATAGTTACTTGCTTTTCAAGTTAGGCATTTTGTTAAATCAAAAATTTTTTTTTTTTCCTTTTTTTTTTCTTGTTTTGTCAAATTTATTCAAGCATAGCAAGGTTAAAAAATATTACTTTTTAAATGTCTGTTGTTCTCACGCTTTTTTAAGCGCAATTATCATTTTATTACGTTATAAAATATAATTTTAATTTATTTTATCAGTTAAAACCATTTAACATGTTAACGGTTTTGTTAGTATTATTTAAGATCAGCAAAGTATATTAGGAAAGTTAAATACATGCCGAGAAGAAACATTAGTTACAAAATTTTTTTTTTTAATTTAATATAAGTTAAGGCTTCCATTAAATTGCAACAGATGCAACATTAATACAAGCTTAAAACAAAATAACAAGAGTTTAAATCCTGCGGATTTCAAACTGATGATTCAGGTAAAGAAATTTTAATACGGTGTAAAACTTGTCGAGAGTATTCAGAGCTTTTAAAAATTGTCATAATAAAAATAAATGCTGTGCTAATTTAGCAACAGAAGCATTTGTACGGGAAATATCAGTTATAAAAAAACTGATGATGATGATTAGACAGAAAAATCTGATAATGAGTAAATTATGAAAATATGTCAATAAGACAATCGCCATTGCACGGAAACAATGTTTATATATAAGAAAAAACTATTTTTAGTATTTTTAACTTTTGTTTTCCCTCCATCAATTTACATATAGTTACAAGTTCATACTATACTACAATTAAATTTTTAAAAACACCACCCCTACTACTTGAGAATTAAATGGTCATTTTTCGTAGAGGTTAAACAACCGGATGTAAACTGTCTACACTCATTTTGTAAAAAAAAAAAAAACTTTAAAACTAATTCATAAATTTGCTATATACTTAATTTACTACACAAAATTTAATTGCTACATTCTTTAAAATATTACTGTCTGAAGCTATGCTATTAAAAAGCAATCCTTTTAAAATCAATTGTTCATTACCCCTATCGTAACAGAAAGCAAAAAATCTTTTTTTTTTTTTCTTTTTTTTTTTTTTTTTTACCGACCTGACGTCAGATAAGGTCGGCACGCTTGTAGCGAATTCGAATTTCGCTGACTGGTTTAAAGCATATTGTTTAAAAGAATATCACTCAATGAATTTCATGTAATTTTCAAAATAATGTGATATAATAAGTTTCGTAACTTCCAAAATGATTCAGATTTTAATTATTTAATTATAATTCTTTTATAATTATCATGTCAGGTTATACTTACGGTATATACTTTTAAATGGTTATACTTTCAAATTACTTTGATGGTCATATATTCAAGTTACTTTGATTTTATTAGTATTTTAATACATCTTTAAAGTTTTTTTTAAAATAAACAATAATATGCGTATAAAATATCTAGGTGAAATTTAACATTTGATTACAGAAAAAGATTTTAAATAATTTCTAAAATATATTTTATTCCTCAATCATTAATGATGTGTTAAAAGTTTTAAGTGTTAATTAGCTTGTTGTTTATCTCCTATAATCTGTATATGTGTTTAATTATGCACAACTAGATAAAGGATGGTGGAGCACCTCAAGTGGACTACTATCAATTGATCGAGTTACAGGGGCTGTTGTTGGCGTGAATACTGGTACAGCTATGGTTTATTACAACGATGATTCTTTTAGCACTTATGCAGAGGTTTGTTGAGCTTATTTATACTGTAATAGTATATAATAAACTATCTTTAATAACATGTTTGGAAAACGCAGTATATTAATACATATATTTACTAGAAACGAAACTTGATTTCGTTTTTTTATTTATGGTTACATTTATGTCTTCCAGGTTACTGTTGTACAACCAAATAGTGCTCCTCTTATAGTAGATGAAAGCTATCTCTTTTTATCTAATGACATGGTAAGGTATTTCCGTATTTCGTTTGATAATGACGCAACAAATAGTCATAGTTGTTCAGAAAATCTTTCAATTGATGTTCAAGCTCCTTTTAAATGTAATGCTAAGTGGACCGATAGCACTGACAATATAGAAGAAGTTTTTGGTATTAAATCCGTCTACAAAAACGGCCAACCGCATTGCATGTTTTCTCCGCATGTTTTAACTCCTGCACTCATGAAATCTTTAAGTATAAGTGACAGAACTATTGTTTTGAATGTTGACATAAGCGATGGACGTCATATGTATTCATCTAAGCCCTTGGAAGTCAGATTTGCACCAGAGGTATACATTATTCCAAAAGAAATATTTTTCAGCAATAAAAATAAAGTTGAAATCATTGAAGTTTATGGCTCCCAGTCTCAGCTATCTGGATTAAAGGTTGATCTTTGTGTTAGCGTTTTTGTTTTATTAACTTATTTTAATAAATATACTATTTTAAGAAAATGCTTATAAAAACCTATTAATAATTATGAATTTATTGGTTTTAGATTAAAAACATCCCGCCATTTATTAACGTTGAAAGATTGACGACTGTAGATCCTTACCTTTTTAAATATGAATTGTCACTAAAAAGTTCAATAAAATCAGATGCAAACACATCGGTGACGTTTTTTAGTCCGTTATCTGCGAGTAGTTCATCTGTTTTGGTTCATGTTAAAGGAGAATTCGACAATAAATATATAACGTATTCATCAGAAATACAAACATCATGGAATCGTAAGATTAGTGAATATATACAACAAACCAATGTTTGGGTTGTTAGCTATACGGTAATATTGGCTACTATCATTCTTCTAATTGTACTTTATCATTATTTCATAAAAGAACGTTATGGTAGTGCAATAATGCCTCCATCTTATTCAAATTCACCCTACATTCAAACATCTCCACCACCTTATCAGTATAGTCCGACATTTCAAACTAAAACACCTGTGTCGTACGGACCAACAAAAAAAAGCACGCCTCAACGACATCTTTTTAGCGTCTCTCAGTAAATTCACGCGCTGTCAAAGTTAGCATAAACTTCACGTTTTTCAGCACAGCAAAAACGTTAATGTTGCGATCTTGTTTTAAAAGAAATTTCAAATAAGACTACAAAAATGTTTGGTGAACCGTGTTGACTTATTACTGTTATTAACTGTTCAGCAATAAACCTTTGCGTCGAATTTGCGATTTGCCATTTTTAATGACATTTTTTTTTTTTTTTTTTTTTAAATTTTGTCTTCAATATTCAAATGTTTTTGTAACTTGCAAAAGCATTATTCGAAATCGTTTTCACTCCAAAAATACAACTTCATTTTCAGAAAAATTAGAAAACTTTAAAATTATAGGCTTTTCATGGAAATATATGGTCAAACGTTTAGATTTTGGTTTTTAAAAATCTTTTTTTAAGACGTGTGCAAATGAACTAAGCAATAATTGTTGGTCATTAAGTGAATTAAAGGAGAAAAAGCGTAGCTAACTTTATAAACATTTATTGTAAATAGTATTCCCTTTCAAAAATGTAAAGGTTAAGAACACTAGATACTTTTATTAAAATTGATTTGTTTTATTTTTGTGCCATTATCAATTTTAATGTGGTTTACATCAAAATTGATAGCGGCACAAAAATTAAAAGTTTTCAAATCCAATGATTAATTTTTGTGAAATAGTATTAAAATAAATGAATTAATCAAATATGCAACAGCACTAAATTTGTTACATATTTGATTAATTCATGTATTTATTTCAATAGTATACCCAAAAATCAATTTTTAGATTTCCTGGAAAATCGATTATTAGACACGCTGAAAATAAATTATTAGACTCGCTGGCCTTATTGCAACTTCTCCGGTTAATATTGTTTTCAATTTTGACCAGTACGAATGACGAGTCACGCAAGTATGATTTCTGGTGGATGGAAATAGAGATATTTGCTTGTCTGCGCAGCTACTGTGATAGTATTAGTAGAAAAAGAAAACAATTTAAGACGATCGAACACTATTGTAATATTAGTATAGATAACTAGCAGAGATTATCTTTTTCCGGATATTTCCTGAATTCCTAATATTTTTCTAGCTTTAAGTTTTTCTGGATATCCAAAACATTTTCCATACTTGTAAGTTTAGGTATTTATTTTTGCCCAAGCAAAAATATATACCTAAACTTACAAGTATGGAAAATACCCAAATATGAAAAAGTATTCCAAACATGGACGAATAAAAGATATTAGAGGTAGAGAAGAGAGTCGGATGTAAAACAAATTCTAGACACGATTAATAAAAACAGCATTTGCCATGGATTGTTAATATGGTTTCCAAGAGAGGTCAGTATTGAATAATACTCCAAGAAGACGTAAAGTAGAAAACATAGTGAGAGGATCGACATTCATCTATATAGAAATGTCAAAATTATTCCGCTAGTTGTTTGCAAATGAGTTTAGTTAAAGTAAAATTTCACACGCCATTGCAAGCTTCTGTTAAAGAAGTGAGATCAGATAAAAGATCAACTGCCTATTCTAAGTGATCAAAAAGAGAAGAATTTTTGACAAGACAGAAGTATAAAATTGATTCGTCAGTAAATTTTTTTTTTTTTTTTCCAGAAAAATATGAACAAGGTAAATTTACATTGAATATATTACTGGTAGGACTTCCAGAAGATCACATGATCTTATCATGAAGCCCTTTACAATCTATATAACGAATGAAAAGGTAGAAAATTTACAAATATTAAAAATTACATAAGCGTTAGAATATTCTTCAGATGTTAAGCAAGTTTTAACGTAATACTTTATAATATGGATATGTAACATTCTCAATATTGAACAATATTATAATATAAAGTATTCAGCATATATTGTTTAAATAATATTCATCACACAGTCGACAAAAATATCAAATAACTTGAAATACTAAAAATAAATAAATATATTTTGTGTTGAAAAGATTATTTCTTTTGTTTTCTTTTTAAAGGAGGAATAAGACCATTTAAAAGAAAAATCAAAGTTAGGTAAAACTATTTTATTCCAAAGAAATGGACCACGATAAAAAATACGAAACTGGTCAATTTTTGTTTTGCAAAACGGCACTTGAATATTTTTACTGTCACGAAGTTCATATTTGTTTTTTGGTTTCAAATTATAGTCATTTATAAATACACTTGGAGATAAATTTTCTTTACATTTAAACATAAAATACTAAAAATATTTAGTTCGTTTATATTTAAAACTTTCATTTCTATAAGAAGTGGTGTTGAGCTTGAAAAATGATTTCCAAAATTAATTATGCGAGCTGCGTGTTTCTGATGCCGATAGAGAGATTTAAGTTTGGTTTTGTGAGCGCTTCCCCATATAATATTGGCATAGTTTATATGGCAATGAATAAATGAATAATATAGTTGAGTTAGTTGCTTTTTATTTAGTATATATCAAGCTTTGTATAGAATTTCAATGTTTTTAGCAACTTTAATTGAAATACTATCAATTTGCTGACTCCAAGATAAGTTTTCATCTATTATGACTCCTAAAAATTTTGTAAATTTTTCTCTTTTTATGATTGTATTGTCAAGGAATAGGTCAGGTAAGATATTTTGGATTCTCTTTTTTTTAGAGGTTGGTTGAAAAAGTATAAACTTTGTTTTATCCGTATTCAAGGACAATTTATTTTTTCTAAACCAATATGATATTCTTTTTAATTCATTATTCATATTATTAAAAAGTATTTCTATGTTTTCGTGCGACTGAAATAAATTCGTATCATCTGCAAAATTTACGGTCGTTAGGGTAGAAGCTTTGTAAAGATCATTTATGTGTAATAGAAATAATAGTGGTCCAAGTATGGATCCTTGGGGGACACCGCATGTTATATTTTTTATCATTTGCGATGAAGATTCTTTGTTATAAACAAATTGTTTGCGGTTACTTAGATAGCTTTTAAACCAATTTAGGGTTTTATCTTTTATACCATAGCTCTCTAGCTTTTTTATTAAAATATGATGATTAACAGTATCAAAAGCTTTTGACAAGTCAATTAATATGCCTAGTGTGAATTGAGAATTCTTAAATGAATCGGCAATACTGCGTGTTACTTGGAGAATAGCGTGTTCTGTAGAACTGTTTCTCTGAAAACCAAATTGATTTTTATAAAGGAGTTTATTATCAATAAGATAAGTGTAAATTCTATTATACATTATTTTTTTTTTTTTTTATTTTTTTTTTATTATTTATTTAATTTGCCGTTGATAAATATTACAAAAAAGAAATTACAATAAAAGAAAATCCTGGCTGGAGCAAGAAGAAGACAGATTGTCTTATCACCGAGCCCCGTCACACAAAAATTTACATGCACAATAAATGATAAAAGACAAAAATACAGTATAAATACAAAAACAAAAATAAATCAAAAACTTCAGCAATAAAATAATTTGTTGCTAACAATCTTCAAGCAGAATAATTTTATTCTAATATTTCTTTCTAATTTTATTCTAATATAAATTCTTTCTAATATTTTTGAAAAGACCGGTAGAACTGAGATAAGACGATAGTTTGTTATGTTGGTATGGTCACCTGTTTTAAAGATTGGAGTTACTTTGGCTATTTTTAAACAATTTGGAAACGATCCTTGAGTAATAGATGCTTTGAAGACTTTGAAGAGGATATCTTTAATCTCATTAAAAGAGTTGATTACATTTTATCGATTTTGTCGATTTCCATTTATATCATCAGGCCCTATTGCTAAAAATTTATAGTTGAATTTGGTGATGATATAAATTCATCAACAGAGTTGTTGTCTACATAAGGAATCTTGTTTGATAGGTTATGTCCTATTGACGAAAAGAAGTTATTGAATTCGGCTGCGATTTCATTTGAATCGGTAATTAACTTATTTTCAAATTTTATAGCATTCGGCATCGTATTTGTGTTTGTTTTATGCTTGCTAGTAATTTCTTTCATTATTTGCCACACCCGCCTTGAATTATGCTTGTGTTTTATAAGCAAGTCAGAGTAGTAAATTTGTTTGGCTTTTTTTCGGAGTTTTTCAAATAGATTTTTGTAAACTGTGTAGTTTTTTTTATGTTTGTCGGATTTACTTTTAAGATATTTAATATAGAGTTTTTGTTTTATTTTTGATGATTTTTTATTCCTTTAGTTATCCAATGACAAAATATGTCTTTGGCGTTAAGAACTATTTGTCGAATAGGAAAATTTGCTTCATATATTTTGTAAAATATATTAAAAAAAGATTTGTTTATTTATATCCTCATTAAAGTTTATATAGCTCCAGTCTTGGTGTAAAAGTTGCTCTTTAGATAAATTTAAGTTATTGTTGCTATAAATTCGTTTTTTTAATGTTATTTTACCATTCGTATTTGTTTTGTGGTCAGCGTCTAAGCAGAAAAAAAATTGGAAAGTGATCCGAAACATCAGTTTTTATAATACCTTTTTTGAGTGTAATATTGAAATAGTCATTGGTAAGAACGTTGTCAATTAAGAAGGATGAAGACTTTGTAATTCTAGTAGGTTTATTTATAATGGGTATTGTTCCCGTTTCAAATAAATGATTATAAAACTTTGTTATATATTTTTTTTCATTATACTGGAAGCAGTCAAGGTTGAAATCCCCCAGTATATAATTTTTTTTCTTTTCTTGGCTAGTTTTTTCTATATTATGAACTAGATAATTGCTTAGGTACTCAGTTCTTCTGATTGGTGGCCGATAACAACAGCTTAGTAAAATATTTTTAGATTTTTTATTTATTTCAACCGATAAAATCTCATTTATCATCAGAATCATCGTTTATTATCATATTATCATCAGAAACACTCATATCGCTTCGAATATTATACGCAAAGTTTTTTTTTATGTAAAAAAGAACTCCTCCTCCACGCTTATTAAGGTTACGCTCTAAGAAGACTGTATTAAAACCTGTAAGATGGAGATTAGAGTTTGATTTAAAATCTTTCTCTGTACACCAAGTTTCAGTTAAGCAAATAACGTTAAAAAAATTTTCCGTTTGACAAATCATATTTAAAAAGTTATCAAAATATTTTTTTAAACTTCTGATATTAATGTGGATTATATTAAAATAATCACGATTATCATTATTTTTAAATATGCTTTTAATTTTATCTGGATAAAAGTAAGAGCATTCGAATTTTGATCCATTAAACTCATTAAAATAATTAATATCTGGATCAGATTCATTGTCTAAATTAAAAGTATTTGTTTGAAATAAATTTGATATTTTTTCAAAATCATTCCGATAAGTTGAATCCATTTTGTATGTTTTTGTTATTTTGAAAATATTTGAAGGTTTTTATATACACTGGTATATATGTACGCACACATGTGAACATATTACATATATATATATAAAACCCTTTTTTTTTTTGTTTTTGTTTTTTTGATAATCAGATAGTCTTTTCGAAAGACTTGGCGATTAATTTATTATAAACAACTTTGGCAAAATTACCTGATGAACGAATTTCTTTGGCTTTAATGAATAGTTGTTTGTGAATGTTGATTGTTCTCTCACTAAAATCTTCATTGATATACATCTTT